GCGTTGAGGACAAGCTGCCCCAAGTCCACTGCACAGAAGTGGTGACAGGCCGTGCAGCGTGGTGTCAGGAAGTGGGGGCTTTCACCCGCCCGTGGTGCCTGGTGACACTGCAGAGTTTGCAGTAGAGAGGACGGGATGAGAAATTGCAGCGTTCCTCTGCATAGGGGACAGATGCCAAAGGAAAACAGAAGTTCATTCAGACCGGGTAGAAGGCCTGGTTTTGGATCCTGCCCAGGTGGTTACCGCTGTCTTAATAATTATTCACGGCGTCAGAGCCAGGGAGACCATCTGCCCGACAGCCTTTCTCAGCTCCCTCTCTGTCCTTCAGGAGGCCATGGCCAAGAGTGGGCTGTATGTGGGGGGAGAGCTCGTAGGAGCTTTTACGTTTTTATTTATTATTACTTTGTTTATAAAAACCCTTCCTGTATTATCAAAGTTTTCAAACACCCAAAAGTAGAGAAAATAGTGTGATGGACCTTCTTTTTCCCAACACCCAGCTTTGACACTTAGCAACATTTTATTAATCTTCTTTCCTCCATCTCCACCCCTCCCCCACCTCATCCATCATATATACACCCTTGTAGTTTTGTTTTCTTAATTTTTAAATTTTTATTTATTTATTTTTAAAGATTTTATTTTATTTATTTGACAGACAGAGATCACAAGTAGGCAGAGAGGCAGGCAGAGAGAGGGGGGGGAAGCAGGCTCCCCGCTGAGCAGAGAGCCCGATGCGGGGCTTGATCTGACCTGAGCAGAAGGCAGAGGCTTTAACCCACTGAACCACCCAGGCGCCCCTGTAGTTTTGTTTTTAAAAGAAAACTAAATTGGGGTGGCTGGGTGGCTCAGTGGGTTAAGCCTCTGCCTTCGGCTCAGGTCATGATCTTGGCGTCCTGGGATCAAGTCCTGCATTGGGCTCCCTGCTCTGTGGGGAGCTTGCTTCTCCTTCTCCTTTTCTGGGCAACCCCCCCCCACCCCCCGCCAGCACTCTTGTCACGCTCGTTCTCTTTCTCTCAAAATAAATAAATAAAATCTTTAAAAAAAAAATAGAAGCAGAGTAATTGTACAGTTTGGTGTGGCCTTAATGGTTAGTGGCGTTATTTTTTTGATTTGTCCCCGCTACTCAGAGCAGTGCAGGCAGAATGATCATTGGGCTGTTGTCATGGTGCTTGGCGATGCGAGGCTCTGCCATTTTGTTTGCTGTGTGTCTGTCTGTCTCTCCTTGATCCTGCTGCATTTGGATTCATGGCATTCTGGTCAAGAGTCAGGTCCAGTGGTTTCAGTCAGGGCTCTGGAAGTCATGTGGGGGTCTCCTTTGGTCATTACAGTAAGTGGGGAATGCTGCTACTGGCATTTAGGCCGGCAGGGGCTCCAGGGAGTGGGACTCAGGGGTGTTCATTCGTCATAAATGTCAGGGGGTTGTTTTTGCACTGTGAGCACTTGTCCCATCCACCGTTGGTCATGTTCCTGGGCACTTCTTCTTCTTCTTTTTAAAAAATATTCTATTTTTTAAGTAATCTCTGCATCCAAGGTGGGACTGGAACTCACGACCCCAAGATCAAGAGTCACATGTTCCACCAACTGAGCCAACCAGGCGCCCCAGCTCCTGGGCGCTTCAGAATGTACAATGTGGAGCAGGGAATCGGCTTTCTCTTGGTGCCTTTTTAAGGCTTAAAAAAATCTGTTTTGGCTCGTGCAATCAGGAGACTGTAACTAGCCTCTAGCATGTTTTTAAGGGTTCATCGTTTGATCCAAATTCTTTGTTTGTAATACTTGGGCAAATGGGGTATCTTGCAGCCTCTGTCCCAGCTGTACATTGTCCCTTTTTCTGCCTGTCATTACCATTAGCATCCCTGCCACTGCCCAGTGGAGAATGCGGATGGAGACACAGTGACATTTAGCTTGACAGGTCGTTTGCAGCTTTCTTGTGCCCCAGGGACTGCTGGTGAGAGAGAGGTTGTGGAAGATAAACCACGGAAGGGTTGTAGCCTGCAGGGGCCGGCGTATAGGATATTCTTCTGCTGCTTCCAGCCATCAGCCTGGTGCACCCCATAGCAGGTGGTAGCTGATTATCTCGGGGGCAGTTAGGGAGCCTCGGTGGGCAGAGCATGGCCAGTCATCCTTCTGAGTTCTTTTTGTTTTCAGCCGCACTCTAGATGGATGGCAGCCTTCCTCTGCGGGAAATGAAATGTGTTCAGACAACTTGGGCACCAGGCACAGATGGGAATGGACTAATGGGCACCGAGGATAGAGCTGGGGGGAGACACACAGTTAGTCATTATTAATCTGTGACAGCTGCCGGCCGCTGCTGGTTAGCACGGACGGTGCCCGGGGTGCAGGTGCTCTGGGCTTGTCCTTTCTGGAAGACTCTGGGGCCGATAGGCCTGTCTCAGCCTGTGTGCTGTACAGACCCCAAATCTGCATGATAGAGGCGATTGGTAACTTGATGCAGGATGAGGGGAGCCCCAGGTCGACCTGGGGAGAGGGTCCAGCCAACATGCGTGTTTCTGCACTTTTCCACGGTAATCTCACTTAACTCTTACGCCATCCCTGCGGGGTAGGTAATTAGGACTGTTCCCACGTGACACTCGAGGAAGCTGAGGCACAGACAGCGAAGCAGAAGCTGAGGTTAGAGGCAGGCCTCCGTGAGCTCAGAGAAGAGTGTGCCTTGTTCTGAGAAGCCGAGACTTGGGCTAAGTGCTCGCTTGAGCGCCTCACTGTCAGGCTGGTTTTGAATCAAGCAGCTAGTTATTTCCTAGCTCCCCCCTTCCCCCCACCGCCCCGCCGCTCTTTATAGCTTTTGTGGATGTTGTTTCTCTTCACTTGTTTGACTTTTAAGTGGCTGAGTCAGTTTGCAGTGTTTGAGCTGCTTTTTGAGCCTCACCTGCCTATCTGAAAATCACAACTGAACCTTTTTTCCTAACGTGGCGACATCACTCGGGAAGACTGGCTCACAGTTCAGAGGAAATGCCAGCCCGCAGAAGGCAAATGGCTTTAATTACTTAATCTGGGCTCATTTTAAAAATTGGAATGACTGTCTCGTCATCGGAGTTCTGTGTCCATTGTATTTTATTCCTGCCCAGGCTCCGGCTAGCTAACCGCCTGTGCTACAAGCCGTGTGTCAAGGCCAAATGCTGCATTTTCAATCTGAGAGTCAAATAGCAATTTAAAATCCTGATTTTCATACCTGTCTGTGAAATTCACTTAAATGGAATGGAAATACAGTGGGCTGCTTGTTATGAAACGTTGACTCTCACTCCTGGTAGAAACCTTTACGAGCTGGGATTTATATATACGTATACAGCACACATATATTTTCTTCTTTTTAGTTTGCCTTCCACTTTCTTGATTTGCCTACTTGTCATTTCTGCTTACAAATTAGACTTTTTGGAAACTAATGGTCCCTTAAAGAGGTACATTTGGGGCGCCTGGGTGGCTCACTTGGTTAAGCATCTGCCTTTGGCTCAGGCCATGATCTCAGGGTCGTGGGATTGAGTCCCGCGTCGGGCTCCCTGCCAGTCGGGGAGTCTGCTTCTCCATCTCCTTTTGTCTCTCTCCTCGCTCCTGTGCGCTCTCTCTCTTTCTCTCTCTCAAATAAATCCAAGTCTTAAAAAAAAAAAAAGAGGTACTTTTTGTAATTTTGAAAATAAAACCTACCCCTTCAACATGCTGCTGCCTGGCTTGTCCACCTTGCTGTCTTTGTCTCCAGAGGATCCTTTTTGCTTCCCCATGTCTCCTCTTCCGCTGGGGCTAGTCCCACTGTGGCTGCCTTGTTTAGTCTCTCCCTGATCATGTTCCCCACCTCCTTCCCCTACAGAAGTGTCCCTCTTGACCCCTTCCAGGAATCTAACATTCTCTTCCTCATTCTCTGGCTGGGAGAAACCTGGGGAGTGGGTGTTTGTGTAGATGCAGGCTAGCTGCCTCGCACGCTAACGTGGGTTTCTGGCATAGGAGGAACAAAGCTTGCATGCCCCCGATCCAGCCGTACCCAATACCTCTTCTGTTGGAGTTTGCTCTGAATTAAACAATGGTAAAAGTAGGCAGCAGATCATAAAGTCAAGAGCCTGATCCCAACTGTTATTTATATGCTCTACACTGATGCTCATTGGCTTTCATTCTTTTTTTGAGTTTTTTTTTTTTTTTTTTTTTAAGTAATCTCTACACCCAGTGTGGAGCTTGAACCCACAACTCTGAGATCAAGAGTCACATGATCTTCTGACTGAACCAGCCAGGCACCCTGACTTTCATGCCTTTTTTTGTTTTTTTTTCAAAGACTTTATTTATTTACTTGAGAGAGAGACATAGTAAGAGAGAACATGAGTGGGGCATGGGGAGAGGGAGATGTAGGCTCCTCACCGAACAGGGAGCTGACCCTGGACCTGATCCGAGGACCCCGGGACCATGACCTAAGTCAAAGGCAGATGCTTAACCGACCGAGCCACCCAGGCACCACTCCCCCCGCCGACTTTCATTCTTAGTAATTGTTACTTTAAAAGGTTTCTCTACTAATAAATATTAACTCATTGTAAAAAATTTAGGCCAAAAAAGTGAAGAAAAGGCCTTCATAATCCCACTACCCTGAGAAAACAATCCTCATTACCTTTTTGATGTATAGTCTTCTGCCATTTCTTAGTTACATAGGCGAATGCAAACATATGGCTTATGTAATAATACTGTTTTGGAAGTCTGACCTTCTTTTCACTTAACACTTACCTTGATCATTTTTCTCAAGGCATTAAAAATTTTCCTAGAATGTCTTTTTAAATGGCCGTAGAACATTTGTTTGTATGAATTAATGGCAGTGTTATACAGGCAGCCCTTTCTGACCGGAAATTGTTTTTGGCACTGTTGATGCAGTTTTAAGATGAGCATTCCTGTAGCTGTCGCAACCCTGAACCTTTCCTAGGATAAAATTCTTACAGCAGAACTGCTGAGCCATGCTTTATTTTATTTTTTTTTAAAGCTTTCGACATGCAATAATATTTACTTTTTTTCCCCTCCAGACACTACAACAGCAGGAGTGCAAACTTCTCTACAGCCGAAAAGAGGGTCAGAGGCAAGAAAATAAGAACAAAAATAGATATAAAAACATCCTGCCCTGTAAGTATTAATATTCTGTTCAGTAACAGTGACTCTTGGAGTGTTGGCTTCCTCAGTGTCCCTGTAACTTTTCTTGTGCGTCACGTGCCTCCTCAGAAGATCCGAGGCCTTAGCCCCTTTCAGTTCTGAGTGGTTTCCAGAATCGTCAAACATGGTGGGATGGTTGACGTTTACCGCGTTCCTATGCTGCCTGTCCTGGGTCAGACTGCCACCCGGTGATCCTTGAGTGGGTTGTTTCCTTCTGTTAATTAATTTTATCTGCCTAAGAGTGAGAATCTCAAGGCTTGCCATCTCCCAGGGTCAGGCCACACCAAGACCCTTAGGGGGCCCAGGCTTGTGTCCTTGCCCTTCGTTCAGCACTCAGCCTGTGGGGCTTGGGGAAGGCCCACCTCCTCGCTGGGACTCCATTCCCTCTTCTGGGGAATTGGCAGTCTCCCCCCAAGGACTCTTCAACTGCTCTGCTCCCTGACCTCTGGAGCTTGGGTTACAGGAGATACAGGTACATACCTACACTTAGCTTGAAAAGGACCCAGAGGTATCCATAAGGCGTTTAACACCTGAGTGCTGCCCAGTAGAGCCCAAGCCGAGCCACAGAGAACAAGGGGCCTGGAAGGATGGAGGTCTTAGGTGAGGGCCCCAGAGATGGCAAGAAGCAGTTGTCATAGCCCCTCTTTCCTGAGGGCTGACCCTGTGCCAGGCTCTGCATCGGTCTCACTTACTTCTTACTCCAGCATAGAAAGCAGACGTTCTGATTTTCCCAGTTTTATAGACCATTTCAGCAAGGTTGCAAGCAAGGGAGAACGGGCATCAGAGCCCCCAGAGCCACGGTCTTAGCACCATGCTCTTTCTCGGAGGGATCTCCAGAGGGGGCTGTTGCAGGGCAGTCTGCTGGGGGGAAGGGAAGGAACACTGAGAACTTCTTTTGATTTATATCCTTTATCTAAAAAGAGAAAGAAAGAAAAATTTAAATCTGACATAGAGATTGATGGCAGTGCATGCATAATGTATTTACCAACTTAAAAATAGGGCTTGTTTGTATATGTATGTGTATATATTTCGGTGTTCAAAAACTTCACAATTAAAGTTTATTGGAATGCATGAGCAAATTTGGTGAGCATTGCAGTAATGTCTCATCAGATCCAAGCCATTTTGTCAGGTATCATAAACCCATTGTGCTTGCGTGCGTGAGTGTACGTGTGTGTGCCTGTGTGTGTGTGTAGCATGGTCTTTCCGTGTACATAGGTACACGTACATGGTACATATGTATATCGCATCAATATGGTTATTTGAGTTGTGTGTAGGTGAGGATGGGAGAATGTTAATAGTAGTGAGAAGAGGCGGTAGGAATTTGCAGAGAATCAATCTGAGTCACAGCATGGTCCTCATGACCTTGGGGAAGCCTCATCCTGTTTATGTCTAAGTTTTCCTTTCTGCTCAGGAGACCTAATGGAACTCGTTAGTAAGATGCAGGGATGTAGGAAAAGGTGACGGGAACAATCATATGCAATTTGAATAGAGTATCACTGCCTTTTCCTCTCTTAAAAATCCCAGTCAGATGCTTCCTCTTGATTAACGTCTTATTTCTTTAGAGATGGGGAGTCTGAGACATGCAGCTGTATTACTAATTCCCATTGTAAAATAATTTTTTAAGAGAGATAAGGTGGGGAGGGGCACAGGGAGAGGGAGAGAGAGAGAATCTCAAGCAGGCTCCATACCCAGCGTGGAGCCTGACGCGGGGCTCCATCTCACAACCCAAAACGAGTTGGACATTTAACTGAATCTCCCAGGAGTGCCCCACCCCCCATGGTAAAATAAGTTGCTTAGGTAGAGCACTCAGACTCCTGTATCAATCATGTACTTTTGTACAGAATTTAGTCAGTTGATACTATCAAAATCTTACCTTCTAGATACGTATTTCATTCTGCTTCATTAAAAAAAAAACCCACCATTTGTATTATGGAAAGTTTCAAATATATTCATAAGTAGACAGAATAGTATAAAAAACCATACATACCTGCTGCCCTGCTCTCAGTGTTGTCAACTCATACCCAGTCCTGTTTCATTTATACTCTGAGCCACTCTTCCTCTCTCCCCAAATTATGTCGAAGTGAATCTCAGACATTATGTCATTCATCTGTACTTTACTCTTCCTTTTGTTTTTTTAAAAAAAGCCACCTTTTTGTTTTGAAATACTTTTAGACTCGCAAGAAGTTACAAAAATATACAGAAGGTTCCCATGTACTCTTTTTTTAAAAACATTTTAAAAAAGATTTTATTTATTTATTTGACAGAGAGAGATCACAAGTAGGCAGAGAGGCAGGCACAGAGAGAGAGAGAGAGAGAGAGAGAGAGAGGAGGAAGCAGGCTCCCCGCTGAGTAGAGAGCCCGACTCGGGACTCGATCCCAGGACCCTGAGATCATGACCTGAGCCGAAGGCAGAGGCTTAACCCACTGAGCCACCTAGGCACCCGGTTCCCATGTACTCTTTATCCAGCTTCTCCCATTGATAATATCCTATAGATCCATAGTAAATTGTCAAGACCAGGGAGTTCCCGTTGCTACTTTTTTCGTCTTAAAGATAGCATTATGAAGCATCATATGGTGTTCAGATCATTGTTGTGCTCATTTAGGATTTAATCTTTTATGTGGTTTTATCATTAAGTGAACAAAACTTGGACTGGGTGGAAGGGTAACTGATTTGAAGTGACGTGTCCTGAGGAAGTATGACTGTGATCTCTTTTTCTTCCAGTTGATCATACCAGGGTTGTCCTACACGATGGTGATCCCAATGAGCCCGTTTCAGATTACATCAATGCAAATATTATCATGGTAATCTTTGCTTTCCACAGTGTTTTCTGACTGTACATTGCCAGCCATTGTTTGTATTTTATGTTTTATATTGCTTGTGACCCTGAAAGCAACATTCAGGTGTTTGATGGATTTTCTTCCTAAAATTTCTAGCCTGAGTTTGAAACCAAATGCAACAATTCAAAGCCCAAAAAGAGTTACATTGCCACGCAAGGCTGCTTGCAAAACACAGTGAATGACTTTTGGCGGATGGTATTTCAAGAGAACTCCCGAGTGATTGTCATGACAACGAAAGAAGTGGAGAGAGGAAAGGTATACTCAAGTTCTTCTGATACAGTATTTTTAAAGTATTGGCCATGTCAGGTTGAACATGTTAAGAATTGAATAAACAAATTAAGCTGATTCTAACTGACCCTCTGGAGAAAAGAGAGTAGAAGAAATTTGGTTGTGACATGCCTTGGTGTAGTTTTCTTTATGTTCCTTCTGCTTGGGATTCATTGAGCTTCTGGAATCTGTGGCTTTTTGGAAATGTTTTATTATTTCTGCATACACAGGAGAGCAATTACACGTATATTGGGCTGCTCGGCATTGACCTGAGGCCTACTGAGGCTTTGTTCATTTTGTGCGGTTGTCTTTTCTCCCCCTTGTTTCATTTTGGATAGTTTCTTTGGCTGTGTGTCTTTAAGTTAATCTTTTTTCTGCAGTGTGTCACCTGCTGTTATTACTATTAGTGTGTTTTCCATAGCAGACATTGTTTTTTTCATCTCTAGAAGTTTTATTATTGTTGTTATTTCCTTTTAATGTCTTTTGTGTCTCTCTTTTTAACTTATACCTTTTGGACATATGGAGTATATTTGTAATAACCGTTTTAATGTCCTTATTAGTGATTTCACTGGTCATATAAATTATACTTGTGACGTGTGAGCATTTAAACATTAATTTGAATTATTTAAGCAATATAGTCATATACATATCCAAACACATTATGGTTATGGTTAAAATTGCCTTTGTCACTGTACCTTGTCCACCCATTTAAAGTCCCTGTCACCAGTGTGATGTGTATCTCTCCATGCTCTCTTCTTGGCATTTACATACATACATGTGTGAGAGGCATTTACGTGTATGCGTGTGCTTACATATGTATGTGTGCCTGTGGAGGTATATAGCACTGTTTTCTGGAAAAACACTGTATGCAAAAGTGTTTTCATATACTAACTTTGTCATGCATCTTGGGCCCCGCCCAAATGAATGTTCTAACATCTACTATTCGTACATAGTAGCCTGTTGCCTTCTTTTTAGTAATTGCATGATGTTCCATAGTAATGCTGTACCATAAGTTATTTTACCATTATGAATCGGGCACTTAAATGTTTCCGTTTTTGCTGTTAACAAACAGTGCTAAAGTGAATAATCTTATTCTTACTTCTGTGTGTGTGTGTGTGTGTTTGTGTGTGGCACGTGTCTCTCTAGGTTAGATTTCATAAAAAGGAATGCTAGGTCACAGGGTAGGCATGTTGTAAGTTCGAAGACACTCCGCCAAACTGCTCCCGGAGTGGTTGTCCCAGCATGCCCCCCCCCCGCCCCCAACCCAGCTGCTATGTCAAGTACTCCTCTCCCCACACTCTTCATGACACTTCAGGTTTTAAAAATTGTAACAGCCCACACCTAGAGAGAAGCAGACAGATCTCACTGAGTGACATTTCTCTGTGTTATCCCAGAGTGAGCCCATCCATGTGGGTTTTTAATGTGGAAAAGTTCTGTGTTTTAGTCAAAGTTATTTTGTAGTTACACTTTAATTGGCTTACATAAAATTTGCATGGAATATAGCAGCCATACCTTTAAGTTAAACCTGAGACAGATGAGTGATTCTGGATTTTAGCGCTCCTGATGAATTTTCCTATCAGTTTTGAAGGGCAGCATGATTTTGTAGGATTTTCATTGTTGTGCTAACTAGTTGTCATGCTTCTGAAAACCTTTAAGGCCGGATCTGGTCATTGTGAAACAGAGGCTTCCTCCAGCAGCTCCCCACAGTAACATCAGATGTTTAACTCAGGCACCTGCCCGAGTATAGAAAGGAAAACTGAGCCATCTCTCCTGCCTGTTGTCTGGTTCATAGGCGGCTACTTCTCCTTATAGGACTTGGGGGCACAAAGAGAAGGTTCTTGTGTCACTTCAGGGGGATTCGTTTTGGTCCCTTTCGGAAGACCTGCCAGAAGCTCCTAGAACAGGCAGACATTGGGCCAAATCAGCCTGCCCCTCTGCTTGCCTCCACCCTGCAAGTCTGTGCCTGCTTCCTGCTTATGCTCTTCAGTCCCAGGGTGGAGAGCATGATGGATGCATTCTCTCCACAGTCCAGAAGTTCTTTTTTTTTTTTTTTTTAAAGATTTTATTTATTTATTTGACAGAGATTACAAGTAGGCAGAGAGGCAGGCAGAGAGAGAGGGGAAGCAGGTTCCCTGCTGAGCAGAGAGCCCGACATGGGGCTCGATCCCAGGACCCTGAGATCATGACCTGAGTCGAAGGCAGATGCTTAACCCACTGAGCCACCCCAGCGCCCCCAGAAGTTCTGATAGCGTGCTCTCTTGGTCTCAGACTCTAGATTCCCTTTGAGTCCTGGGCCTTGGTTTAAAATGTATTAGCTGTCACATTTTAGAATTTGTTTGCCAAAGTCTACGTCAGAGTTTGGAAAACTAGGAGGAGGGCCGAGGTAGTCTGCTGATGTTCAAAGTCTGCTGAAATGTTTTCAGGGTTGTGATTTAATTTTTTGTTCTCTGTTGAGTCTCTTGAACAACGAACAGTCACAGAATTGATTGGCCAGCAATAGCATTGAGTACAGTTAATATTTAAAGTGCTTATTTGGGGATAATAAAAGTTGTATCAAATCTGTTGAAGAGGTATTTGGATCTACCAAATAGTGCAGGGAGAAAGCTGAATTCAGAATATTAATAAATAATAGACCGTATTAGCCATTGCCAGGCAAAAAAGTTGCACTATTAATTCTTCTGTTCAACTTTCCTTCTGCTGTGTTTTTTTTTTTTCTTTCAATTAATCATTGACTGAGGGGATGCCTGCAGCTGCTCTCTTAATTATAGTTTTAGCACTGAATTTCCCTGTCTTCCTAATAGAAAAGGTAAATTTCTCTTGCCGATATTGGTATCTTGGTGGTTGTGGGAAGTCCGCTCCCAGAAAAAAACAAAACACAAAAACATTCTCTGCTCAGGACACGTCACCAGATATATACAGGCTCATTTCTCATTGAGCTAAATATCTTCCTCTTTGGCACCAAGAATGATGTAGTTGGTTCCATATTTTTCAATCTGTCTGCTCTGACGCCAGCAGCTGTTGCAGGCTCGCTGTTCCAGGGCACCCAGGGAAGCGAAGGGGACGTGTATAGTAGGTAGCGAACGGATCTGGATATAGAAGAAGCAGCTGGTTCAAAACCCCGTCGGCTGCCTTGCTGTGTTGGAGCTGTTCACACGTGGGTTAGATAAGGCACGGAGTCCTCCTACACGGGTGCGGAAATGAACCAGACAAGTCTGGCTCTTTGGGCAACCTGTCCACCTCCAGAGTGCTTGCTTGCCTTCCCTGCAGAGGGACTGGCAGATCTCTGGAATTCAGACGTCAGTGATTGCTAGACAGAACCCTCAGACGGGCTAGTCCCTCATTCTGCATCTTTGGTTCTTTGGAGATAAATGAACAATCCTTGACCGTCCTTTGACATGCGTCTTAAATCAGACAACCCTGCAAAGGCTGCTCTGTCTTTCGGCTTCTCCCTGGTTTTCCACGCACCTGCTTTTCTTATTTGAACTTATTTTTCCTTTTCTTTGAAAATCCACCAGATGCTAGATAGGCCATTTTCTGAATATTGATCATTAAGCAAGACTCAAAATTTTTTTTTTTCCTGAGTATTTATTTTCCTCTGGTTTAGGCTTTAATTTCAGAATTCACAGAGATTAACTGTCTTTTCTCTGATCCCTTTCAGAGTAAATGTGTCAAATACTGGCCCGACGAGTATGCTCTGAAAGAATATGGGGTCATGCGTGTTAGGAACGTCAAAGAAAGTGCTGCTCATGACTATACATTAAGAGAACTTAAACTTTCAAAGGTTGGACAAGTAAGTATATTGTCGTATTTTAGAGACTTTAGTAACTGGTTTTGGCAGGGAGTAATCCAAGATCATGCGGTTACTCATATTTGCGTGCATTCGTGGCCTCGTTTACTCACTGATTTAACGGGTGCCTTCTAGGTACCAGGTGCCCAGGTGCATACTGATACATTGCAAACAGGATGGGGGCCATCCCTGCCCTCCCAGAGCCTAGGGAGATGGAAGGTTAAAAACTCAGGAACCAGTTAAGCTTTCCAGTTGGTCTGAGGCTATGAAGGCTTCAGGAAGTTATGTTAGAAGCGACTGGGTACCTGAGATGGAGTAGCCAGGGAGGGCCTCTCTGAGGTCGTATCACTTGAGACCAAGGTGGGGGAGCCAGGCATCCAGAGAGCCCAGGGAAGAGTGCTTCCAGCAGCGGGAACAGTAGTGGCAAAGCGCCTGAGGCCAGTTTCGTGACCACATTCCATGGCGTCTGATCTTAACTGCACGTAGTTTAAGTTTGTCACTGGGGTGACTAACTTTATAAAGCAGGGTCAGATTTGGATTCATTTTAATTTCGGGGTTAGAGGGGCTTATTTTTTCAAGGTCGTCTGGGGACCCGGAGATGAGTGAAGTCTTTGAGGAACTGGAATCACGTAGCAGTGAGGACGCACACACACAGACAGCCGTGCTCCCGAGCAGACGGGCTGCAGCAGGTCCGAAGTGCCATGAAACGCAGCAAAGGCTGGGTTTCCTTCTGCCTGGGACGTCAGGGAGATCGTCTCGGAAGACGCTGGGCTTGTCTGGGTCAGGTTTCCACTGGCGAAGATGAGGGAGGGAGGCCCTCCAGGTGGAGGTGTCACTGTGAACCCTGATGTGCAGACGAAAGGGAAATGGGGTTTATGGGGAATGAAGGCAAGTGGGGAATCAAGAGAATAAGCCGAAGAGAGGGGGGACCAAGTCGGGAAAAGTGTCAAGTGTCGTGTTCAGAATGTGAGCTCCGTGTGTGAGGAGGCTGGGGGCTGGGCGAGGCTGCTGCCAAGTGGACGCAGACGCAGAGCCGCACGCCAGGGGTGTGTCTGACAGTCCCCGGTGCGGGGGGCCCGGGCCGGGTGAACCGAGGGGCCGGCAGGACTGCTAGGAGGCTGTTGGGTGTTCTGGGTCTGGTGGCCTCCTCTCCAGGTCAGAGCCCAGGGACTCCGACACTTGTTTCCTTATTCCCGCCTTTGCAAACGAATACTATGCAAAATGCCAGAATAAATGGAAGAGGAGCGACGGACGGATGGACGGATGGACGGACGTGCCAGATGCATTGAGGCGGCACCTGCAGGGCGTGGGGAAGAATCAAACGCAGTGTGAGGGGACAGTGTCGCTGCGGTGAGGGCAGAAGAGCGGGCAGAGGCTGTGCGGGAAGGCAGGGCTTGCGTGGTCCCGGGGAAAGGTGGTGCAGGGCGGTGGACGGAGGAGGCCCGCCTGGAGGAGAGAGAGGAGGCGATGTGAAGGGGTTTGGTTACAGTGTGGGTGGGGGGTGGGGGTGGTGTTAAGGATGACCGCCAGTTCTCTAGCTTGAGCGCTGGCTTGGTGGAGGGGCAGAAGGGTGAACGGGAGGAGGGATGGGTAAAGTGTGAGATGCCTTGGAGACGGCAAAGCAAAGAGGCCAGGGAGGCAGGAATGGAGGATGGCGATGGGGGGAGATGGGTTCCAGAGCATCGCGGATGGATGGCAGCAGGGGGGCAGGAGGAGGAGGTGACCGCGCACGCAGATAGAGGAGCCTACATGCAGTTTCTTGATGTTCTCCATGAGGCAAGGCCATCAACTGGCATTCGAAGGGAATCAGAGACAAATTATCTTTGGTAAGTGGGAAAAGTATTCAATGATAATGTGTAGAGACGGTGAGGAATCCATTGAGTTTTCAGGCAGCGCTGAATGCCCAGTTGAGCTGGTGAACATGAATGTTCAGTGACACCAGTCCCCTGGTGTGATTTTTCTCCACGTTTATAAAACAGAGAAGGTGCGCCGTTGGTTTTGTCCAGGCCTGGGGCTTTGCCCAGGGGTGCGGTGGATGGAGAGAGGTGGAGAGAGGGTGAAAGGGGGATTGTCAGAATAGTACACGGGGCGGGGGGGCACCTGGGTGGCTCAGTTGGTTGAGCATCCCACTCTTGATCTCAGCTCAAGCCCCGTGTTGGGGCTCCACGCCCAGCATGGAGCCTCCTTAAAAAAAAGTCGTATGCAGAACCCAAGCCCGACAGGGGGACAGTGGGGGCAGGAGAGGTGGGTGGAGAGCGGAAGAGGGCTCAGTGGTCTGCTGAGCTCCACGACGTGGTCTGGGGACCAAAGCGAGCTGGAAGCCTGGGCGGTCGTGGTCCGGGATGGGATGCTGGGACTTCTGATGTTAGCGGGGCTGCGCTTCTGCTGATGGTGGGGTGGGGGGAGGTTTACCCTGCTGCAGAGATGGAGAGAGAAGCTGAAAAAACATAGCTGTCAAACAGAAGTGGAAGACATTTAGAGGACACTGGCCAGAGATACCACATAGGTTCGTTCAATTTTAGGCTCAGCCACCCATCTTCTTGTTATCAGGTGTTTCTGAGTAGCAGGTGGATGTTTCTTCAGTTTTAGTGATAAACCATCCATCTTCTTGCTAACAGAGATTTTTGAGCAGCAGGTACAGGAAATGTTGGCATTTGGGCTTGTGTTTTATACCCATGGGTTGAGGCGCCATCAGAGGACAGGTGATTTCTCCAGAATCCCTGGTCGCATGTTACCTGCTTTTTATAGAATACATTATATTTTTTTCTAAAGTGCTGTGACATGATCTTGTTACATTTCCTAGCAGGGAGATCTTTTGGGACAGAAATTTACCAAGGAGGAGGAGCAGGGATACACAGGGCTTCTGGGTTCCGTTCCTGTTGTTCCTGTGTAGCCCCTGAGTTTGAGCTGACTTGTATCATCAAGAAAAATTTTATCATGACATCAGTAAATTAAATGCACGTAATTCACAAAAAGATCTTAATTGTGGTTCAACTAACTTGAATGTACTGAAGGTCAGTGGTGGTGAACACTGGCTTCATTTTTCTTTCTTTTTTACAAAAAAAATTTTTTTTTTTTGGATTTTATTTATTCATTTGACAGATAGAGACCACAAGTAGGCAGAGAGGCAGACAGAGAGAGAGGAGGAAGCAGGCTCCCGGCTGAGCAGAGAGCCGGACGCGGGGCTTGATCCCAGGACCCTGGGATCATGACCTGAGCCGAAGGCAGAGGCTTTAACCCTCTGAGCCACCCAGGCGCCCCTCTTTTCCAAATCTCCTTTAAAAACATCAGTAGCTTGGATTTCCTTCAGATACAGAGGACAGAGAGGGAGCAGTCAGCAGGACTGCTACAGCTGCCTCATCTGGGTAGACCCAGAACGTGGTGCTTTTGGTCTTCTCTAGACTTGACCTTTGTTAATGACCCCCGTCCTCAGAAGGGCACTGGTGACGGTGCCGCCAAGGAGTGGCTGTGTGTTTACTTAGTCTTGTTAAGTCCCTCTCAGTAGCATGGTGAGGGAGATTATCATTCCTCTTTGCACATGAAGAAATTGAGGCTTAGAGGTCTGGAGACCACAGTGATTATGAGTGCGGGGGTTCGGGCCTAAACCCAGCCTTCTGATCACAAAGCTTGACTTCTTACCTACTTTGTATTAAACAGAAGGTTAAAATACTACGATGAAATAATAAAAGTGGGTGTTTTGGGAGAGGGGAGGAGAGGGGCTGGGTGTAAAAGGCAAAGAGGAATACATGTCTTGAGAAGATAGCTGTTTTTTATCTGCTGGGAGGAGAGCCCCAGGTCCCAGAAGCTTCAGTTGCCTCCTGAGTTGGGCTACCCGTGCACAAGGAGGAACGGGGACGTTGCCTGCCTCTGAGGATTCAGAAAGGTGACTCTGGTTGTAGCTTCCTGAGGAGCTAATTGCTGTCCTGGACATTTTGGTTCTTAGGACAGAGGCAAAGAGTTGCCTTCAGGATTGCTCAACCAGATCCAAAAGGAGACGTGATTGGGAAACTCATCTGACCTTTACATGGAGCGTGAGGAGACTTGGTGCCCGCCTCTTCCGTTGGCTCACGTCAGGTCTGGGGAAGATCAGCACTGGGTGATTCCTCAACCCCTTGATTTATTTAATTCTTTTCTGGTTTTTCTTGGCTCTACTCCAGGGGAATACAGAGAGAACCGTGTGGCAATACCACTTTCGGACCTGGCCGGACCACGGAGTGCCCAGTGACCCTGGGGGCGTGCTGGACTTCTTGGAGGAGGTCCACCATAAGCAAGAGAGCATTATGGACGCAGGGCCTGTGGTCGTTCACTGCAGGTGACCGGCCCCTGCCCCCTCCCTGGGCTGCAGCCTGGCCCCGCTCTCTGTGCCACTAGGGCTTGCTTTTACTCACCCACCTCAGCTCTTGAACTGTGAGAAAAATCTAATCTCTTTGAGGCATGCGTAAACTGCGTTAAGGGACACTGACCCCGGAGTGTTTTTCTCATGGGTCCTGCGGGACTGCCAGGTGTTGGCGGTGGCTGGGCTGAGGGTGGTGAACTTAATCCTTATTCTCAGGGAGCCCTTACGTAGTCTAGTAATGTCTGCTTGTGTTTTTTGCTTTTTAAAAAAACACGGTGATTTAGAATTCATCACTTTGATTGTGATCCTATTCTCTTCTGCCACAGAAATAAGATACATTCCCTGCCCGCCCCCCGCCTCCTCCACCCCCATAAAACACTTGTTTGCTTCAAAAGATTTGGACCACTCCCCACCCAGGCTCCAGAAGCCCCGCCTGTGGCCCCTCACCATGGTTTACAGCCTGCTGGCACCCAAGTCTGGGCTTCATGGTCGTACTGGGGAAAGTTTAGTTTCCCAAAGCTCATCCGTACACTGGGCAAATAGCTGTGTGTGAAACTTCACCTTTTCTTTTTTCTTTTAAAGATTTTATTTATTTGTCACAGAGAGAGTACAAGCAGAGGGAGCAGCAGGCAGTGGGAGAAGCAGGCTTCCAACTTAGCAAGGATCCCGATGCGGGATTCGATCCCAGGACCTCGGGATCATAACCTGAGCCAAAGGCAGACACTTAAACAACTGAGCCACCTGACTGGAACATCACTTTTTTTTAAAAGCTACTGTTTATTGAGAACTGATTCTGTTCCAGCCTCTGAGCTTAGTGTTTCCCATACGTGACTGACATTTGATCCACACAACCACCTTGTAAAGTACGTACCATTATCCTCATTTCACAGACGAGGAAACTGAGGGTCAGAGAGGTATGAGACTTGGCTCAGGCACATGGTACTAGAGAAGCTGGGCTCCAAGTACAGTTTGGACTAACTCCAAAACCCTGTGCTCGTAGCTAATCTATTCTCAAATACAAATAGACAGTCTTAAAAATACTCCCAAGAGCAGACATTGTTTCTGTTAATATTAATAGTTGGTTTTGAGTCTGAAACCCCCATGAACGACTCCATCGTCACTGCTCTCTGTCCTTCTGCCCACAGTGCTGGAATCGGCCGGACAGGGACGTTCATTGTGATTGATATCCTTATTGACATCATCAGAGAGAAAGGTAGGTCATCTGGAGGGCAAGAAGCCATAGTTCCCATTTTTAGTTTATGGAAGGAACGTGCTAGTGAAAATAGCCTGGGGGAGAGAATTTGAGTGTTAAAACATTTTCACAAAATCTGGGCTGAGGGCTTTGACTTTCATTATCTTTGTGGGAGAACAAAAGTGAGTCTATTTGAGCTTTTGACATGAAACACAGCTTAGGAGCTGTGGGTCCCACTGCCATGGTCTTTTGTTGACGGTGTGGCGGTGGTCTCTGCCCACCCACCTCATCCAGGCTGACGTTATGGCGAGGGGGTCCCGACCTCCAACACTTTCTCGGGTAATTTTCTGGAATCATTTGTATCGGTCAGAAGGCCAGTGTAGCCCTTGGAACAAGTTCATTTAGAACATTAAAGACTAAATTTGCTCTCTGAGTCGGCTGAAAGTTGTGCCTTAAACCATTTCATCCCGGCCCTGCGGTTTTTCCTAATGCCTCATGGTGCTTGCTTTGCAGGTGTCGACTGTGACATTGATGTTCCCAAAACCATTCAGATGGTGCGGTCTCAGAGGTCAGGGATGGTCCAGACAGAAGCACAGTATAGGTTCATCTATATGGCTGTCCAGCATTACATCGAAACACTACAGCGCAGGATTGAAGAAGAACAGGTATCGGTGCTGGAGGGGCTGGTGGGCAGGTTTTCATTTTCTTTTCTGGGTAGCTCCGCCAGATGCGCTTTTCTTTTGAGCAGGATGGGCCTCTGAGAGATACCTGTCACTGTTTGGGAATGGGAATCTCATTCCCACCTAGGAAGGGCCTCTCTTCATAACTCTGATATTTCAGGATGGATTAGTGTAGGGAATTAGCTGCTATCGTCCTGGCCTGGCAGTTTGGGGAACTGCCCTGTGGAAAGGTTGGGATTTTCCCAGACAGACCCGAGGAGCTTCACAGGGCAAGTTTGGAACTGAAAGCCTCGAAGTTTCCAGCCTGTTCTGGTTTAGATCTGGGCTGTCTTTATCCAGATCTCATCTCTTAAACGGATGCTTCACTCTTCATAGCACACAGTAGTTTGAACCATCAACTTGGTTGAGTTGGAAACAGTGAAATTTCAATTTTAATAAGCCATGCATAATGAAGAAGAATGTGGAGTTGGAGTGTTTCCATTTGAAGCTATTCATAACAGACACAAAGCTGAGTTAATTAGGAAGACGCGGAGAGGAGGGAAATGAGGAGACTGCTCCTTTGGGGATCTGGGCGTCTCCCCCACTCCCCTCTCAGCCCTGCCGCTCTGCTGCAGAGGGAAGTGTCTAAACAGCACCGATACCTGCCTGCTTTACCCTGTGTATTGCCTTCCAGAGGACCCGGCTTCTCAGGATGCTACCTGCCGGCAAATTGTGAGACTTCCAGCCTAGCAGAACAGCAGCCACGTTATCAAAGCTTGGCTAGCCAAAGTAAGATACCTGTTAGTTAGCTTAGTACGTTCTCAGTTCACGTCAAAACACTAGAGGGGCTCTTGGGTGGCTCAGTCGATTAAGCATCCGACTCTTGATTTTGGCTCAGGTCATGCTCTCGGTCTTGGGAGATCGAGCCCTCGTGTTGGGCTCCACACTCAGTGCAGAGTCTGCTTGTCCCTCTCCCTCCGCTCCTTTCCGCACACGCTCTCTCTTAAATAAATAAAATCTTAAACCCCAAACACTAGATTGTTTCATTGTACAAAAACATCTTCAGCAACAACAGTTTGGTATAGATATGTAAGGTCAAATAATCAACAAAGTACTGGTTTTGACCTTCAGTGCCTTAAGTCTGACTTGGTATCATTGTAAGTTTTGTGAAATATTTAGATGGTTACTGTAGGCTATTTTCTCTCTCTCTCTCTCTCTCTTTTTAAAGATTTCATTTATTTGAGAGAAAGAGAGGACAAGCAGAGGAAGGAGCAGAGGGAGAAGCAGATTCCCCCCAAGCAGGGAGCCTGATGCAGGACTCGATCCCAGGGTCCTGGGATCATGACCTGAGCTGAAGGCAGATGCTCAATGACTGAGCCACCCAGGTGCCCCACTATAGGGTATTTTCTCTTTGTCTCCCAGTTATAGTGAATTTGGGCCAGGAATAGTTAAAGCATAAAGTTGCCTAAAGAGAAGGACTTAGGTCCTAATCAATACAAAGAGTATTTATAAACATAGTATAAACACAATTGGTATAACTTCAGGAATATCTTTTTTTTTTAAACATTTTTTAAAAAAGTTTTTATTTATTTATTTGACAGACAGAGATCACAAGTAGGCAGAGAGGCAGGCAGAGAGAGAGAGAAGAGGAAGCAGGCTCCCCGCTAAGCAGTCAGCCAGACATGGCGCTCGATCCTAGGACCCTGAGATCATGACCTGAGCCAAAGGCAGAGGCTTTAACCCACTGAGCCACCTGGGCGCCCCTAAATTCAGGAATATCTTGAGGCATATTATGTAATCTTGTTTAGAAAAGCTGGGGAAAAAGCTGTCTTTTATTTATTTATTTATTTATTTATTTGAAGAAAGCTCCTTTTATTTCATTCAGAAGCTTCATTTATCCTTGTTTTGGTGACTTAAGGGCTTACCCCTCCCTTCCTTGATAGCAGTTCAGGTGTTCTCATTACCATATACAGTCTCTCTGACCCTAAATCTCAAGCTGTGATTCGGATTTAGGAGCTCCTTTAAGAATATCTTTATCACTGCCATTTTGGTAAGAGGTACCGTCATCTGATAGAAAGCTTAAGCAGTAGCCTTAAGAAACAGTGAGGCGGCCTGAGTTTTAAATTAAGCAAAGGAATGAAACTTACTTAGGATCATTGATTATTCTTTTCAATACCATCATTTCCACAATTCTGAAGAGTTAAGGACCTTCGGGACTGAAGGAATTTTCGAAAGAGGGTAGATGAAAAACGACCAGCATCGGGGTGGTGAGCCTGGGGATGGAAGCAGGAAGTAGCAGCGGCACTGGGAGGAGGCAAAGCAGAAACAGGTGGGCGTCCAAGAGAAGGTGCAAGTGATGGGAGTTTGAGAAAATTCTCAAGTTTTTATAAAGGGTTCTTCCCACACTCTGCCATTTACTTGAAAGTAGATTTCTTTATTAACTTCCATTTACAGTATTAAGATTTTGTTTTTTTAATTTGCAAAAACAGTGCATGGAATTCCCTTCACCCTGTTAACATTTCAACACACTTTATCATTCATTTGTATTTTCTCTCTATATCTACAACGTGTGCTTCTAAAAAGGAAATGCTCGTAAGTTGTCAACCTTTTTGCGCCCCTGCCTCTTAATGCTCTAATGTGTGTGTCCTGGAAATGAAGACATTCTTCCACCTAACCATTGTGAAGTTAGCATTGATACAGCACGGTTTTCTAGTCCGCAGACCATATCAAATTTTCCAGTTTGTCGTCCTCCTGTCTTTCTGTGGTCCAGGGTCCCCTGGCGCATTTGCTTGTCACATAGCTTTCCTTTCCTCTGGGACAGTTTCTCGGTCTTCATCTTCCTCGCCCTTGCCATTTTTGAACGGTTCAGGCCAGTTATTTGATGGAATACCCCTCAATTTGGATTTGTCTGATGTGCTCTCTTGATTAGATTCAGGTCATGCGTTTTTGACAGGCCTGTCATAGAAGCCATGTTCCGTCCTGATACCTCCCGTCAGGAGCACCTCTGTTGACACGTTTCACGGCTGGCAGTGTTCTCTTTGATCACTTGTTGAAGGTGTTGTCTGTCAGGTTTCTCCACTGGGCAGTGACGATTTCCCCCTTTTTATTTTACTTTATTTCATTTATTTATTTTTTTTTAAAGATTTATTTATTTGATAGAGCAAGCACAAGTAGGGGAGTGGCAGGCGGCGGGGAGAGGGAGAAGCAGGCTCCCCTCGGAGCAGAGAGCCTGATATGGGGCTCGATCCCAGGACTCTGGGATCATGACCTGAGCTGAAGGCAGATGCTTAACAACTGAGCCACCCAGGTGCCCCGATTTCCTCCTTTTTACGTAGTATCTTATAGGAAGATGTTTGAGACTATATAAATAACCTGCTTTCCATCATTCTTTTTGCCCAGTAATTTTGCATGTACTCACTATTGCCTGGAAAATTTACTCCTACGATATCTGCCCAGTGGTGGTTTCCTACTTCCATAAGTCCCTTTTCATTTATTAGTTGGGAGCCTTCTCTAAGGAGGAGCTTTCCCTTCTCATTCATTCATTCATTCATTCATTCATTCATTCATGTCAGAATGGGTGACAACCCTGAGATCATGACCTGAGCCAAAATCAAGAGTTGGGCACTTAACAGACTGAGCTACCCAGATGCCCCAAGAGGATTTTCATTTGTCCCTTTTCCTCCTGCTCTTGGCTTTTGGGCTTTTAAAAAAAATTAATATATGCTTTATTTTGTAGTCTTAATTTTTTTTTTTTTTAAGTAATCTCTCTGCTCAACATGGGGCTCGGACTCACGACCCTGAGATCAAGAGTCGCATGCTCTACTGACGGAGCCAGCCAGGCACCTGAAGCTTTTTTTGTAAATTAAAGTTTAAGAATGGACTGCAGTTAATTTCACATGGCAAGATATTTAATGCCAGATGATTTTCAGGACTTGTGGTTGGACCCTCCTTTCAACCTTGACTGTGTGTCAGCTGGCAAGGCTGTAAGATTTAGTATAAATATTACAAAAGGTTTGGTAACTCTGCTATGTCCTTGAATTCAGGGGAAGGATAGGTCAATTTCAGACCATTATTTTAGGGCTCCGTAACAAATCTCCCTCTACACCCCTCCCCTAAATCAAAAGAATCTCTATCCCCTGAGATTTTTTTCTTGTTCTATACGGACAGCCTGGGCTGTCACAGTCCTGAGAAATGAACTCATCTGATTTGTGGATCAGTTTTATTTCTTGTTCTTTCTAAATAAGCAGAGAAACTCCCGTATTTTTATGCTTTTCCTTGAGCAACTTAATTGACTGAAATAATTCCTGTCCCATTTGTATTAAGTATTCCCCATTAGAAAATTCTTTTGTAATCACTATATGTAAAAATACTGATTTTTTTCAAGAAAGTATTTAGTAGGGAGGGAGAAACAGAGGTTGCTGTTTAGTGGGTATAGACTTTCAGTGATCTAAGATGAAAAGTTCTAGAGATCTGATGCATAACAATAGCGTATACCTGACAGTATTGCATTGTGCACTCAGAATTTTGTCAGGAGCCTGTATCTCATGTTGTCTGTTTTTCTTTTACCACGATTTAGAAAAGTGTTGAGTAGGAAGCAAGCTCATACTTCAACTTACTGATTGTGTATTTCTTTAAAAAAATAGAGTTAGGATTTTTCAACTCAGAATAAGGTGGTTTTTTTTTTTTTAAGTTATTTTAATAAGGCTCCACACCAGTGTGGATCCCAACACAGGGCGTGAACTCACAACCCTGAGATTAAGACCTGAACTGAGACCAACAGTCAGATGCCCAACTGTCCAGATCGAGTTTTAAAATAAGTGATATTCTCTGCCAGGTCTTCCACTTAATATTTCTTTTTTTTTTTTTTTTTTTTTTAAGATTTTTATTTATTTGACAGAGGCAGAGATCACAAGTAGGCAGAGAGGCAGGCAGAGAGAGGGGGAAGCAGGTTCCCCGCTGAGCAGAGAGCCCGATGCAGGGCTCAATCCCAGGACCCTGAGATCATGACCTGAGCCGAAAGCAGAGGCCCTAACCCACTGAGCCACCCAGGTGCCCCTTAATATTTCATTTTAAATTCTGTCTTTTAAAGACTCATTTTTTGTGGGAGTCAGTATTTCAGCACTAAGAATCTGTGGCTGCTTTTTGAGGCCTTTCAATTTTTTTTTTTTTAAAGATTTTATTTATTTATTTGTCAGAAAGAGAGAGAGAAAGCACACAAGTAGGCAGAGAGGCAGGCAGAATCAGAGAGAGAGGCAGGCTCTCTGCTGAGCAAGGAGCCCGATGCGGGACTCGATCGCGGGACTCGATCCCAGCACCCTGGGATCATGACCTGAGCCGGAGGCAGCAGCTTAACCCACTGAGCCACCCAGGCATCCAGAGGTCTTTCAATTTTTAAAAACAGTTGTTCAGGAACGCATGCGTGGCTCAGTGGGTTAAAGCCTCTGCCTTCGGCTCAGGTCATGATCTCAGGGTCCTGGTATAGAGCCCCACATCAGGCTCTCTGCTCAGCAGGGAGTCTGCTTCCCTTCCTCTCTCTCTCTGCCTGCCTCTCTGCCTGTGATCTCTGTTTGTCAAATAAATAAATAAATAAATAAATAAAATCTTTAAAAAAAACAACAACCCCTCAGTTGTTCAAAACATTAAAATACTGTGTAAACAAGACATTTTCTCCTTGGATTTCTTTTTTGTAACTTCTTTCCTAGACTGTAAGTTCCATGACGGCTGCTTGGTCAGGTAACAAACAGGTTGGGCTGCTTTTACAGTCTAATTAATAGTGGCTTCAACAGGACAGAAGCTCATTTCTCTTCTAACATAAAAATCCAAGTTGGCAGTCCATTTGGGAAGGAAGTGGGCATCTCAACTCCACGGGGTCATCCAAGGTCCCCAGCACTTTGCATCTTGTCACCCAGTTGTCCTTTAGGACGTTTCCTTTTCTACACGGTTGCAGACCACACGAGGGAGCGGACAGACAGCAAGCAGCTAGGGGCCTGTTAATGTCAAGCTTTTTCTGTGAAGAGTCAGACAGCAAATCTCTTAGGCTGTGCGGCTTCCTTTTTATTTTGGTCCCATATTCACATATGGTTGCTTTATAGTTTATAGGTTGGAGTCGTAACAACTCTTGTTGTATGCGAAATAAGATTTTCTGCTTTTTATTTGATGTTTTAGGGTGAGTTTTGAGGAAGGAGAAGAAGAACCTTCACCAGTGGGTTTAAATTTGTTTTATGTTTCATTTTGTTTATTTATTTATTTTTATTTTTTATTTTTGAGGATTTTATTTATTTATTTGTCAGAGAGAGAGAGAGAGCACAAGCAGGGGGAACGGCAGGCCCAGTCGGCAGAGGGAGACGCAGACTCTCCGCTGAGCAGGGAGCCTGATGCAGGGCTCAAACCCAGGATCCTGAGATCATGACCTGAGCCAAAGGCAGTTGCTTAGCCGACTGAGCCACCCAGGCACCCCTTATGTTTCATTTTGGAAAAAAAAAACTTAAAATAATAGTACTTACACCTGTAATTGAACATTTTGTTTTGTCACATTTCTTCCAAGTTTTTTCCCATTTATTTTTTATTATTAAAGTAATCTCTACACCCTACCTGGGGCTCCAACTCACAACCTCAAGATCAAGAGTCACACACTCTTCTGAGTGAGCCAGCCAGGCACCCCTCTTTTTTCCTTTTATAACAGCAATCGAATATGGCAGGCACAGCTGTCAGCCCAAGTGCACCCCTCATTTCTACCCCTGAAACTACAGGGCAATAACTAAGTTTGCAGTCAGGTGCTCAACCAACTGAGCCACCCAGGTACCCCTGCTTCCAGTCTCTTTTTAAAATACAAATACCAATAATCTACACACAATAGATAACACTGTTTTATATGTTTAGAATGTTCAGCCAGATGGTTATCATACTGTTTTATTGTTTTGTAATTTGTGTTTTTCCACTTAACATTGATTATGAAAACTGTTTTGATAAACACACAGTATCTCTCTCTCTCTCTCTCTCTTTTTTTTAAAGACTTTATTTGACACAGAGAAAGAGAGATCACAAGTAGGCAGGGCAGCCGGCAGAGAGGGGGGGGGAAGCAGGCTCCCTGCTGAGCAGAGAGCCCGATGCGGGGCTCGATCCCAGGACCTTGAGATCATGACCTGAGCCGAAGGCAGAGGCTTAACCCACTGAGCCACCCAGGCGCCCCACACAGTCTGTCTTTTTGTTCTTTCTCTTCACTGTTGCATATTATTTCATGGTATGAATACATCATATCGATTTATTCTCTTGGTGTCGACATTATTAAGAATAACATGTCGGGCACCTGCTTCCCTTCCTCTCTCTGCCTGCCTCTCTGCCTACTTGTGATCTCTCTCTCTCTCTCTGTCAAATAAATAAATAAAATCTTAAAAAAAAAAAAGAATAACATGTTACTGGACATCCTTTTATAGCCCTTTTAGGCTTCTGTGTATGAGTTTCTCAAGAAGCAAATGTTTAAGGTTGTCGAATATAGTTTTGTTATTACTGGATACCAACTGGTCAGTCCCGCGAGTTCGGACCAATAGTGCACCAATTCAGCCTCTCCCCAGCGGCGAGTGGAAGTCCCCGCTCTGTGTCAGTATCTGATGTGGATACCCTTTCTGATATTTGCTGGTTTTCTTGAATAATCACTGAATGAAGGCACCATTATATAATGATGATTGGTGGGTTCAGTTTTCAGAATTGGTTGTTTTTAGGTGAACTTAGGAGTGAAGAGTGATAAATTGTGTAACCGGGACTCCTACCAAATATAGTTCACTCTGCATCTGTAATGAGATTATATTCTACTGGTTTTCCTTGCCAATTTTTTTTTTCCCCCCAAGAGTATCATTAGAGCCAAAAATGAAGTTTTAAAGATGCTAGGGTCTTTTCTGGGATGGAGGTGGGAGGTGGGGAGGATACAGTAAAGTGCTACCATCTTCTGTACCTGTAGGCCATTTTTACACGGGGTGAACTTAACTTCTGGAACTCTTTTCCCAACTGTTTATCTGAGAATCATTAAATGTGTTGCAAGTGAACTATGAAATGATTAGATGTTAATGTGGCGAAGAAAGTGAGAATTCTCTCTTAGCTCAGAAATAGATGTATTTGGTTTAATATAGTAAGTTGTTAATGCATGACTCTGTGCTTTTGAATTATATGGTTCAAAAGTACTTTTCACTTGTATGGTGTTACTTATGTTGAGGTGAATTCCCTAACATTTGATCAGTGTGTCATTATTCGGGGTCCAACCTTTCTGTCTGCCTGTCTGTCCGTCTGTCTTTGGTACAATGCCTCTTTGCTTCTTTTTCCCTTTAAAAAAGTCCATTTCCTCATATATGCAATCTTCACCTTTCAGAAAAGCAAGAGGAAAGGGCATGAATATACAAATATTAAGTATTCTCTAACGGACCAGACAAGTGGAGATCAGAGTCCCCTCCCGCCTTGTACCCCAACACCATCTTGTGCAGAGTAAGTAGTAATGAAGGAAATTCTTTCTATCCGAACACAGTCCTATAGAAAAGCTTAAAAACCAGCAGGTCTTTGCAACACATGCCTGTCATTATTGTTACCCTGCTGATTAACAAGTGCGTCAGTGGCTTTCTAAACTAAATTTTAATTTACCTAAACCAAAGGCTGATTGGTACACTAACTATGATTATGTGAGGTTATCAGTCTATCCAGTGGTGGTTCTCTAAGAAGAATCTAATTTTCCTTTTTACGGGGTGGGGATGATTTCTCTTGTTAATGATAGACAACAAAGGTAGGTAACGCCCCTTTGGTTGTTTTAAGACTCTATGCTAAATAAAAGTAAGTAACTTGACCATTAATGTCTCAACACCATCATGATCTGCTAATTTTCCTGTCAGTAGAGAACAAAAATCTTCTTTGAGCCTTTAAACCAAGAGTCCACGAACTGGAGGCCTCAGGCCAAATTCTGGCCATGCCTATTTTTGTACAGCTCACGAAAGGTTTTTAAGGTGTTATATTTAAAAAGAAAAAAAAAAAGGCAGCACAGAGAATATTATATGCCAGAGACTGAGACAGAAAAACTTTGCCAACCCCTTGTTTAAGCTAAAATATGTGTTAGGAAAACATTTGTTAAATCGATTATGTGAACGGCAGTCTTAAATTATTGTTTTTCTATATATTCTAAGGTAGTCTGTGGTATAACATTTACTTTTTATTTTTGCCCAAGAGTCTTATCTCTGTTTGCTTCTGATGTGGATTTTTAAACCCCTGCTGACTTTAATACTCTATATACACATTTTAGATAGCAAATATGAGACTTGTATTTACATTTGGCTTCTAGTTAACATTGAAATGAAATTATACAGCAAAAGTATTCTCTCCTCCAAGTTGCCTCTTCTGCCTGCTTTTTGCTTTCCCCGTGGACTGATCGGGAAAGTTGATATTTTAAATTGTAGTCTGCTGTCATGTGCCGTGGCGCCAAGCTCATCAGGGCTCTGAGTCCTGGCCAGAGATCTTTCCCTGAATATTGGCACAGCGCAGGAACTATGACCGCTCCCTTACTGCCAGTGGCCTCTCCACGTGACACATTCTCTGCCTCTCCACTCCCATCGTGTTCCTTATACCTCGGACTCCAAGCCCCTTCTTGTCCCTCTCAGGTTGGCATATATGGCTGCTGGGTCCTCTGTCCCCCAGGGACTGCTCTGATCTCCATTCTGCTCAGTAGAATGGAGTCTGGCCTCTGGTGCATTGGCCCTCCATCCCCGGGCCCTACACCACCATGAGCTTCACCCTCACTGTTCCCCTTCATGTAGCGGGATTCAGGGTTCCGTGGGTCTGTGGGCCTCACTGCCCCTGCTCTTTCCTTCCTTGGACCTCTTGCCTGTTAGGATCCCTCTGCTTGAAATGAATACCGGTCCTTTCTATGTGCTCACATTTTACCCTGCTTGAAGGCCTTACTCAAAGTCCTCATCGTATAGGCCTCCTTTGCTCTGCCTGCCAGAAAAACGGCTCGCTTTCCTCCAACCCCAGAGAACACAGGGGCTCAAGATTCTTACTCTACTGTTAGCTTGCTTTTGTATGTTCGTGTCTCACAGCCTGTCCTAGAGCGTTAGCTCCTGGGGCCTGTGTCTGTACCGTCTCGGGTCTCCCAAAGAATAGATTATGTGCTTTATAAATACTGTGCGCGCTTAGCGTAGTCAGCGCTTTTATTCATGTTTTCTTTCTTTTTTTTTTCTTTTCAGAATGAGAGAAGATAATGCTAGAGTCTATGAAAATGTGGGTCTGATGCAGCAGCAGAAAAGTTTCAGATGAGAACACCCAGCAAGACTTCAGCACAGACACAGGTATTTACATGGACGTGCTCCCGGTGGTTTATGTCATTGGTGGTTTTTTTTTTTTTTTTTAAAGATTTTATTTATTTATTGGATAGAGAGAGAGATCACAAGTAGGCAGAGAAGCAGGCAGAGAGAGAGGAGGAAGCAGGCTCCCCGCTGAGCAGAGAGCCTGATGCGGGGCTCGATCCCAGCACCCTGGGATCATGTCTGAGCCGAAGGCAGAGGCTTAACCCACTGAGCCACCCAGGCGCCCCTCATTGGTGGAGTTTTTAACAGGCAGATAATTTGTGAGTGTTCTAGCGAGGGGCACCACAACGAAGTTTTACAAACCAGCCTCTTTTTTCTCTTCCTAAGCTCCTTTTTCCCAAGCTGGATTTATTTTTGAGTTCATTAAGGATTGAAACCAAATTCGGAATTAATTCTGTGAGGGGCAGAGAGACGGTTGATGTGGGTGAGGAAGGGCAGGGGTCACTGTACCTTCCATTTGTATTAGAATCAGTTGACCCAAGCTGTGCGGGGAGACAGTCTTTGGGGGCCCGGGAAGCAGGGGACAGCTCTGGAGGGTCGGCGTCAGGATGCCCGAGTTCTCATCCGCTTTGGCCCCTGACTGGCTGTGTGACTGGGCTTTGGCCTCCCCGGGCCTATACCCCTCTCACCTTCCAGCACTGTCTCTGGGATCTCCTCTCCCTTGTACGTCTCCTCCCTCAGTCACCTCTGTAGACAGCCACCCAGGTTGTGAGGGTTGTTGGAAACTCATAGTTTCAATGTTGCAAGTTGAAATTCCCATCTCAATGGGTAGTACATTTAAAAGATTTCAATGTGCTTGAAAAATGGTTTAATGCCTTGAGAAACTTTTAGATGTGTGCTCCTTAAAAATTCTAGCTTATTTCTTCCCCAGATGTGGACCTTTACCCTCTCCCTGAAAAGATCAAGAACAGATGAAAGAAAGTACATGCGAAGAATGAATTTGAATTTGGAAGGCTTGTGTTGTGGTTGACTACCTTTGGATAAGCAAAATTCAGAACTATTTAAAGACCACTATATTCTAACTCGACAATACCTGATTACCAATTACTCATTTCCTCAGATAAGAAGAAATCATCTCTACAATGTAGACAGTGTTATATTTTATAGAATTTTATTTTAAATTGAGGAAGCCGTTAATTGTGTTCTATATTTTAATGATGATGGTGATTCAAATTCTACTTATTGGCATTTTCTTTTCTTTTCTTTTTATGACCTTAAAAATTCAATTATTTTTCTCTTCGTGAGGGATGGCAGGGCTTTTATAAGAGGAAAAACGTTTTGGAAAAGGTGACAACATCCTGTGGGATTGAGAACAGTTTCATTTATCATTGCTTATCCAGTAGTGGGTAATTCATTTGATGGCCTCTTTTTTTGGCTAAATGATAATTAAGCCAGTGGCCCCAGACTGTCAGAAGTCGACTATCTACCTTTGCATTGCCATTAAAAAATCATGGGAAAAAAGAATCATGGAAACTTGGGAGAAAAGATGTGTTTTCTTCTTAGCAGATGACCAGGCTGAGAAGGATGTGGTGGGAAAATGTTTGTCACGTTTTCTTTTCATTTGAGTCATTGTCTCGTATTTGGGGGGGGGGGCGGGGAAGCGCATGTGTGGATACCTAACCAGTGTCGTGGTTATCGTTGTTGGTGACAAACCACCCCAAAACGCAGCGGCTGAAACAATACTTCTCTTGTTTGCCTCCTCCCTGTTCTCAGTCTGGGCTGGGTTCCGCTGACCTGTACCTGTCCTCTCACTGGTGTTGCCCGTGTGGTCAGGGGTGGGTGGGCTTCTCTCTGCAGGCCCCTGGCCTTTTCTTCTGCGTGCGATGGCTCCAAGTGGCCTCGCCAGCAGGGTAGCCGGCCGCCTACATGGCCGCTCAGTACTCCCAAGGGTATCAAGCAGTAATGGCCGGGCCTGCTTAAGACTTCAACCCAGAACTTCCACTGCCCTCTCGTGATTAAAGCATCCCAGGGCCAGCCCAGATTCGGGAAGGGGGATGGCACCAGGGGATGGAGTGGAGAGGTGTGATCCACGGGGGCCCCCAGAGTAATGGGCTGTCAGAAGCAGTGCGACACGAGAACAGCAATGGTTAGAAGGAGAAGCTGCTCATGACCTTGGGAAGTGGAAGCTGCTTGCGATTGCTGGTGTAAGCTGGAAGTCAGACTGACAAATAGAGGGCCTTTTAGAAGCTTCCACTTCTGCTGGCTCTGAGCATATTTTCTGAACCAGCACTTTGGGAAACTGGTCCCTAAGGAGGGCTGTGTTGAGGGGGCAGGGCATCTGAACGCAGAACCCCCACCCCGAGGCTCCGGCGGAGGGCGGCGCGGCGGCGCAGGTGGTGCTTCCTCCCCGCGCGTGGGTTCAGTCCGCCGCCGCCGCCCCTCTGACTGAATTAGCAGTGGCTCATTTTTGTTCTAGTCAAGCAGTAGGATTTGCTACCGTTCTACCTGAAGTGCCTTCTCCAAAGACATCCTCTTTGCCCTGTGTGTGGAATCATCCTTCGGTGAGTGTGTTTCAGTGAAAGAATCACTGGTTGACTTTGTAAAGATGGTAAAGTGCCATGGCGGCTTGGCCATTAGGTTACGGTCTCCTTGCACAGTCTTCTTGCTTTGGCTCCTGACCGGTCCAGCCCCTCAAGTGCTTCGGTTCTGAGGTCTTTACCTCCCGTGAAGTCTTGAGGTAGTTTGGAAACTGCCTCCGCCGCCATTTTCACAGACAAAATGCACATTGACGCCCCCCCCAACACCCCCCCCCAAACCAGTGAACCTAGAATGGCTTTAGAACACTGGTGTGGCCCAAAGGTAATCACCTTCTAAGGGGAATGTCAGTGACTACTGTCTTCTTGTCAAGCCTGTAAAGCAAGAGATTCCAGTTCAGTATTTGCAACAAGGGTCTTGAATCCTACTCCTTTTATTGCATTGTCGCATTGAATTCTCCTCCTTTGCCTTGATTTTGTGCTATAGTTGAGACTCTGGACTTTGAGGGCAAAGTCTTTCACCAGCATACAAGGGTTCGATTGTACAAATTTACCTGCTGTATTAATGTCTCCGCCTGTAGCTTAAGATGGAGTTGTTCCGTGCTCAGAACAGAATCGCCTGATCTAGGCTAGCTTTGCTTGTTACAGGACATTGATTTCATTTAGATTTCCCTCCACGAAGTCAGCCAGCTATCATGTTCGATGTAAACCTCTGCCAACACAAGATTATTGTAGCCCCTAGGTTGCTCAGGTTTGTCATGTGTCCGATGAAAAGGGGATTGCAGGTTCTCAGATGAGATTCCTCTCCACGAGATGGAATCGGGGAGAGGGGCGATGAAAATGTGGGGAGCTGGAGGTGCAGGTGTTAAAAGTTGTGGAAATGGAAGTTCCAAAGAGGTGGTTTGTGAGGAGGTCAGAGGTGTGGGGCCTGCGCGGTCAGAACTTGAATAGGTTGATCAGGTTACCTGGCAAGTAGGTGTGATAGATACAGGGATGAAGTCTGCTCCTGGATTGCTGGTAGACATTAAATTTGCACAATATCCTGTAGCTGGTTGAGTATTTTAAAATGATATTCATAGGGTTTTTGTATTTGGGGTGAAGAAATTATCTGACACATGGTATTGGGGTTTCTTTTTTAAAAAAAGCCAAATTTCAGAGTCCTAAGAGCTTTTTTTAAAAAAAAAAAAAAAATATATATATATATATAAAGACACCTCACCTCCAGTGGGTGACCCTCTTGAAAATCATGGTCGTCTCTCCCATTGAATCAGTGACTTTTCAGAGGTGGCAAAATGGGCATGAGAAAATTGCCGTCCGACTTTCTTGGTGTTTGTACATTCTTTATGGAGCCCAGTTGCTTTGGAACAGCCAAGAAGATTATCAAGATTATTTTTAGGGGTACCTTTACTGGGGATCTGAAGAACTAATATAACATCCTGGGTTATTTCTAGTTTGGGGGAATGTGGAAAGGTATGCAATTGTGAAGTGTTTTGTTGTAGCTTATTAATCCATGAGGGGAACTTAGACTGTAGACATAAGGACACACCCAGTGCAGTTTCTGTTTTCTGTATGTTGTTGGGGGAATAAAGTTTTATATAGCAAGCACATGGCCTCCCTGATTTCATAATGCCTTTATTAGACTCTGTAATAGCCCTTAATGTTGTTGAAACCTTTCTCCCTCTTCCTCCTGAAAATACAGTTTATTGTTTCTTCTATCATTGAAAAGTTTGTTCTTTTTTCAGTATGGGCAGTTCACACAAGGCAAAAATATTAAACAGTTGGTTTTAGTGTGTTGTATAACTTTACTGTATATCAAACTAATTTTTACAAGTTTTCATCCTAAACCTCAAATCATGTAATTAATAATTTGCCTGTTTATTTATGACATAATTGTGATTCTTTTATTAATAAAAGCTAATGGAAAAGGATCCTTTATTAAGCTGATGACTAGACCTACATTTAATTTTCCTGCAGTATATGAAGTATTGTACCAGAGTATTAAAAGATATGTAATATTTTATTGATAAATCTATCCTTTAAAAGGAATACGTTTTAGGATGTCATCATTTTGATGTGAATCATGTAAATGTTGATAATATGCACTGTTTATTATACATTTAGTGTTTCGAGAGATTCACTTAATTGCCTTTTTGCCCATGTATTATGTAGTCTGTTTGCAATTGTTTTTTTAAAAAAATGACATGAAAGGAATAGTTTATGTAGAGAAACATTAGTGGATGTTAATTGTCTCCCCACCTGTATTTATGGGTGTTAGTTCAGTTGCATTGCTAGTTGCAAAGCCGTATTATCAGAGTAAACGTGTATTTGTAAACTGTATGGGAACTAAAAATTAGGAATAAAACCATTTTCTTATTTTATGGCATTAGTCATTTACTTCGTTGGAAATGTCCAGGAAAAACCGGGATGATAGGTCACTCAACCTCTTCCACTAGCCAAATGCTGACATTTAGCATCTCTTACCTGGAAAGGTATCTGGGAGTACAGAATATATGAGTCAGTTCCTCAGGCATTCATTCAGTGCCCACTCTGACTAGCTTTGGGAGACAGGCAGGGGATGCTATTTGCAAGAACTTAGGAGTAAGTAACGAATAGAAAGTATGTGTATAAAACATACAGGACACGATCAGGAAACATACAAACAACGTAAATGGTACCCGATAGAAGAGGCTCGTAAATTGTGTACCACAGGACACTGTCTCGTCCCTTGAAGTTTAGGCGACAAGTAAACAAGGCCATTTGCTGCTTCTGACAGCGCCACGTGAACTTTGGCAGAAAGAAATCATTTTATAAGGAACACAATGGGTAGTTCTCAGTTCTCTGTTGTAAATCTAAGAAGAGATTCATATTACTTATTTACACTGTGAAATATTGTCCTCTCAGTCTCGGCTGAGTTACTCAACACGTATCCGTCAGGTTTAGCTGGTTTCACCCGTGTGACCAGACCTCTAGCCATTCAAAATAGGGAGCCCCTGGGCAATGCCAGACGCTGCCCCTGTGCTAGACTCGGGCTGAGCGGTGACTGGCACAGACATGGTGGCCACCCTCCCAGGGGTGACGTCCTAGTGGGAGCTGGGCCTTGCACAGGTCAGAAGGCAGAGATTCCCACTGGGATGCAGAAAGTGCTTGAAGATGCGGGCTGCTCAGACACAGCAGGAAAGGCAGAGATCAGACAACCACTTCCAAATGATGAGGATTATGAGGAGGGGCTTCGTTGTCTCTCCCAGGGGCACGTAACCTTCCACAGATGGAGGGCCTCTGTGCTGCTGTGCTGGTGACCCTCTGGGGTTCCAGAGACGGTGCTGGGTGCGCCGCCAGCCTGGAGATGCCTCATTCCCCATAATCCTTCTTGAGATCCTGGGCCATACATGCTTGAGAAGGCATCGGCAATATCTTTACGTGTTGTGAAAGAGCCTTCCAGCTCTACGCACAAGGAACGTTCTTCGTTCCTATGCACGAGGAAAGCCCCAAGAAAATGTGCAGATTAGAGACAAAGCGGGAATTCCCGTAACCAATCAATTGTGGATGGAGAACTGAGGGGTGGATGGAGAACTGAGGGTTGGATGGACTTGGTCATCTTGTCAGTGAGAAAGTTTCTGAAGAAAGTCCCTACTCATTGTTGGGCACCGCTACATGTATGCTTTGTATGCAGCCGTTCGCTTTGGCTCTGGGAGAGGCCACACAAAGGGACCGTCAGGACCTC